ACAAGGTCCTGGGTTCAATCCCCAGTAACTCCCCTAAAAAAAAAAAAGTCAAGAAAAAAGAAAAAAAATAAAAGCAAAGCAGAAAGACAGGATAATCACCCAGAATTTCACCACTAAGAAGCTGTCCCTTTAGTATTTTGGTTTATTTCTTCCTAGATGACTGTAAGCATCCCAAAAGAACAGCTTCATGCTCTGACACCTCAGTGTTACTATAAAAGAAACAGGTTTAATATTCTTAAAATGTTCTATAAACATTTGTTTAAATGCCAACAAGTACTTCATCCAATAGAGAAGCTTAAACATTTAAAAGCACGAAGTTACACGTCTGAGCGAGTTCAGAGCCCTCGCATATCCATGAGCAAACCTGCCCAGGGCTGCCTCTCCGGGTAAGTACCTTGGAGAGCGCCGGTGCCCCTAAGCAGGGCTGCGGACACCGCCAGGTTGGTCTGAAAGCCTGAGAGGCCGGCTGTTCTTCTCAGGAAGTGTACGTTTAGCATTTCTGAACCACCGTGGTCCTGGGTTTCCAGCCTCCACCCACCAGCTGGTACCACATGCCCTGAGCCTGGGATGTGAGGATAAGCGTGCTGGACACTAAGGTGACTTGCCGAGGGGGAAAGGATGGCTCAAAGGCACACGATGAGGAGGGAGGGACCAGGGCTTGAACTCCCATGCCCAGACCCTGGGCTGTCCCTGTCTCTGTGCCCGCCTGCCAGTTCTCAGCTGTGCAGGGAAACGTGAGCCACAGCACGGGGCCTCTGCATGCTGGGTAAGCATCGCGGCATGCGTCTCTGGCACAGTCCGAGCTCGTGAATACTTGGGGTGGGCGTTGCTTCCCCGAGATACTGCACATGAGTGTGGGGGGTTCTCTCCTGCCAAGACACACTGAGGCTGGAGCCATCTTGACCCGGATGGCCCGCACCCCGCCCACCGCCCTGCCCCTGGCTCAGGTGAGGAGGGCAAGGGGAGCCTGCCAGCCCAGCTTGGGGGGCAGAGACACCTGCAGGGATCCTCTGTGCTTGGCTGACCCTGCATCCAGGGTATCCAGGGCATACGCTGTGTGGTTATAGGGCAGAATTAATGAGGCCTCTGAGAGCAGATCTGAGCCACGCCCCCAGCACCCTGGGCAGGCAGGACAAGTAGCAGGAGCAGGAAGAGGCCTCATTAATTCAATCAGCCCTTCCCTCTGCCCCACCAGACTACTGGAGAGCCATGCGGTGTTAACCATCTCTTCTGTTTTCTGATTTTTTGTTGGGGAGGTAATTAGGTTTATTTATTTATTTACTTCTTTTTAACGGAGGTGCTGAATTGAACCCAGGACCTTGAGCAAGCTAAGCACAGGCTCTACCACTGAGCTATACTCCCCCCCATTTTGTTTTGCTTTCTGGATTCTGATACTGTGATGTCTAGGGTCTTACTGACCCTGGAGGGACGGTCCCTCCCAGGCTTAGCCAGTTCCTCGAGACAGTAAATGAGTCACCCACGATTTTCAAGTGCAAACCAACCAATCCAGAGCCCACACCCCCAGCCACCTCCTCCATCGGGGCCCTTAAATTCCTGGCGACCCCCCATCCTAACCATCCCGGGGCCAGCCAGGTACCAGACAATTAGGGGCAGCCCCACGCCCCAGAGCTCACCGGCACTGTTCACACCGGCCGGCCCGAAGCCTGCTTACCTCGCCTGTTCCTTTCTGCGGAGACCGCAGTCCCCACTCCCCTCTGCTCTCCGTGTGATCCTGGTGCTGAGTGACCCCTCACTTTTGGGATTTGTGAGAAACAAACTATCTTTTGATCTGTTGGCTTTACTACACCTCAAAATTTCTATTAATACACTATATTGTAAAACACCATGTGCCTCTCATCCACCCTCCCCGGCCATCCTTACCAGGCCTCCACCCAACGAGGTCCCCCCTGGCTGGAGTGCTGGTCCCAATTCTCTCCATCCTTTGGGCTTTGGCTAAGGTCACTGACCAGGAAGCCTCTCTGAGCTCCCGACAGGCCCCTCCACATCCCCCTCGTAACCACCATGTCACAGCCGCCTCTTCTCATTCACGGCCGACATCCACAGATGGCGAGTTCTGACAGAGGTGGGGTGGGTCTGACACATGGACAGATGGACGAATGAAGGGGTGGATGAATGAATGACTATGGAGCTGAGATGGCTAATCTGCCTAACCCTCAGGTCCTAGCACCCACTTCTTTGTCCAAGAGCAACAAGCTCACCTCTCCCTCTCTGCCAAACATGTCCGCCCCAAACTCTGGATTCCACAGAAAGCTGTGCACCACTGGCCCTCAGCGCTCATTGCCCAGTCCTCACCAGTTTATCTCTCCGAGGCACAAGGCTGTGCACCTGCCCGCCCCACACCACAGTGTGCAACCCAGGCAGACGGTGAACCAGCCATGAAACTGAAGGGGCAGAGGGTGGAGGTGGCCCATCTGTAGTTCTGTTTTTCCTCTAGGTCATCTCAGCACATGGAACACAGATACCTTGTTCCATCTCTGGGAAATGGTGGGGACAGAAAACTGAGTACCCAGGGTTATAATCCAGTAACGGAGCCAAGAGGGGAGAACGTGCTGGGGACGACCCACAGGAACCTGTGGACCATGAGGATCCGAGGCAGGGTCTGAGAGCTGTGTGACCCCCTGCCTGGGGACTGGGGTGGGGACAGAGAGGGATGGAGAGGGACAGCTGAGCTTGGCACAGCCCAGATCCCTGAGATGACACGTTACTCCTCCAACCCTGCTCCCTCCTCACTCCCCTCTCTCTCAGCCCCTGTTCCTGCAGGAAAGGGAGAGGAATGGATGGTTGCTTTCCAAATAGAAAATTACATTATGATAAGACACTGAAACATACAGCTGCACACAGGCAGAGGACTCTCACAGGCCCCCGGGGGGTGCCCTCCCTCCTCTCTCCCTTTGCCCCTCCACCCCCGACCCCCACATACCTGGAATCCCCGATCTAGGCCAGTTTTTTTTTATCTGTGCTCCTTGAGAACCAGGGCAGGTAGAGTTTAGCACTAACGCCACCCACACAATCATCACAATGCTGGTTTTTTTAAATATATAAAAGGATGTTTTTTACTGGGCTAAATGAACAGAGGTTCCTACCATCAAAAAGAGTGAAGGGTCATGGCTGGGTCAGTGGTTTCTTTGAGGAGGGGGCACTTTGGCCACATCTGCCCACCATTCTTACCAGAGCCCCCCACCCCCGCCCCCAGGAGAAGGCGGACAATCAGCTGGGGATCAGGCACTCTTTGGCCCATGTTTTCCCAGTGGCCAGGATTCCTGTGGGTGAAAACCAGCCACACACCCCGGGGTGAGCACACCTGTGCAGGGCCTGCTCCCACTCCACGCACCCTCTCTCCACCCAGGCCTGGACTGTGCGGAGGGGAACGGACTAAGGTAGGAAGCCGTACTGAGCTAGTCTCATTCCCCAGCTCAGTGTTTGCTGAGCTCCCCTCTGGGGTTATGGCAAATGTTTGGGGGCCCCTATTCCCTCCATCGAGCTCCCGTGGGAAGAGGGCTGCATGGTCAGTCCTGGCATTACTAGGTCTCTGACAACATTTCATCTCCAACTTATGACAATTCATTAAGTCCAGGGCACAGCTAAATCACTTGGGGCACCTCTTAAAAATACCAATTCGCAGGTCTTCAAATAAAAACATACACAAAATGTTCATAGCAGCACTATTCACAAATACCAAAAGGTGGGGGGAAAAAACAGTGTCTATCAAATGATGAATGGATAAACAAATGTGGTACATCCATATGGTGGAATATTATTTGGCCATTAAGAGGAATGAAGCACTGATACCTGCTCCAACACAGACAAACTTTGAAGATATTCTACTAAGTGAAAGAAGCCAGACATAAAAGGTACATATTATATCATTCCACTTACATGAAATTCCAGAATAGGCAAATCAAATAGAGACAGAAAGCAGATTAGGGGTTGCCAGGAGCTGGAGAGAGGAGGGTAGTTAAGGAGTCACTGCTTAATGAGGCCTCCTTTTGGGGTGATAAGAAAGTTCTGGAAATTAGTGGTGATGGTTGCACAACACTGTGAATGTACTAAAAGCCACTGAAAGTGGTTAAACTGAGGAATTTTATGTTATGTGAATTTCACCATAATTTGACAAATAAAAACCCCAAACAAAACAATTCTCCATCCTTATCCCAAACCAAAATCTTCAGGGTGGACCTGGAAATCCGTATCTTTAGGAAGCTCCACCAGGGACTAAAATTTGGCAGAATTTAAGACCTGGGGTGGAGGAACCTCAGGCCCAGGTGGTCTGGGTGCCTTTCTAGGCCTGATGCAGGGGGGAGCGTGCTGGAGTCCTCTCCTGGGCCACGCCCCGTGCTGCTGGGTGTGCCTGACATGGGTGGGCTGAACCCTCCTGGGCTGAGACCCAGGCTTAGGCTCATCTGCATAAACCAGCCCCTCTAGTGAGTGATTGGCTGAAGAGTGGGAGTGTGATTTCATCTGAACCAATGAGAATCAGGCCCAGAGCTTGTGCTGGAAAGTTTGGGAAGAAGTTGTTCTTTCTGCTGCTTTGCCAGAAGGTGAGAAGTGGGCCTGGGGTGGCCGGCAGATGCCGTGGGTGGCCATCCAGCTACCTCCTGAGACAAGTCTGCCCACCAGAGGGCAAACAAGAAGGAGCTGGGCACGGAGAGGCCAAGCCTGACCCTGGGCCTGGGGCTCCAGCTGCCACCAGAATGTTGGCCAATGTTGGTCTCAAGGTGAGGTGACCCAGTCACCCACAGTGTGCAGGGGGCGACAGGAGGCTGCTGGAGCCCCAACACGGATCCCCAGAGGAGGGGATTCCCGAGGGGGACCTGAAGCACAGTGAGGAGCTCTGAGACACCAGGCTCAGAAGAGAAGGCATGGGAAGTTCAAGGGGCAGAGGCTCAGGAGTGTGGGGTTATTAGAAAGGAGGTGGGGTCCCCTGAGAAGGCCCCGGAAATCTGTGCGCATGCCAGTGCCTGCCCTCTGCCCCGACTCACCTTGCCAGGTGCACACATGGTCCCGTCCAGGGGGGGCCCCTTCTTGGTCTTGCAAAAGTACGGGTTGTCAGGGTGGCTGCACCACAGCTGCTTGCAGGGGTCGAAGGTCCGGAACTGGAAGAAAGCCCCAGCAGCTAGCCAGGCTACCTCCCACGTCAGGCACCCTCCAGGGGTGCCAGCCTGCTGCCCCGGGTCGTCTTGCACAGCTGCGGAGCCAGGAATGACTCGGCTGCCCGTGACGGGCTGTGCGGTGCCCTGAGCGCTGTGTGGTCCTGGGGCTGGGAGAGCCTGGGGCCTACAGCATGGGCGCGTCACGTCCTGCGGGCTGCCTGGCCTCCCCAACCTCTAACTCTTTGTGGCTGCACCTCTGATGGAGCCTGGACAGACCGCTGGCACCAGTGTGCTCGGCATGAAGGCTAGGCGGCACCCCTCTGGCCCAGGCAGGGGTGGCTGGTGCCTGGGAGGGGCTGTCACTGCAGGATCTCACGTGCACCTGCTGTTCCCCTGCTGAGCACTTCACCTAATCCCTCCTGAAGCCCTCCCCGCTGCTCCAGTAAGCCCCACCTTCACCCCAGCCTTCGCCTCTGTCCCCCGGACTTTTTCCCTAGCCTTTATATTTCCTGTCACGATAGCCTTTCCTCCAGGACTTCATTTGGCTGGAACTCAGATCTGGCCATGCCACTCCCTATGCAAACCTTTCCAGAGCTTCCCACTGCAGTGAGTCATTGAGATGAGAATCAAGCCCACTACGTTCCTTAGGCAGTTGTGCAAGGGGCTAGACTGCCTGCATCAGTACCCGAGCCTGCCACTTGCTTGCTGTGTGGCCTTAGGCTGGTTACCCCACCTCTCTGGGCCTCAGTTTCCTCATCTGTAAAATGGTAACGCTTTGCTTACTTCCTTTATGCTGCTGAGATGAGCATTGAGTCAAACATTAACAGACACCAAAGCTCTCGCCGCGATGTCTTGCATGGGGTGGCCTCGAACAGCAGTCACGCCCAGTTCTGATGGCTGGGGTTCCTGCTGACGGCTCAGCCCCAGCGCTCGATCCTAGGGGACAACTTGTTGCTCCTCTATTTGCTGCGCTCCCTCAACTCTAGACATACGTGGTACCTGCCTTCTGGAACACCCTCTCCTCCCACTTAGCCTTTATAGCTCCCTTCCTCCAGACAGCCCTTCTGAACTCTGCAGACCATAAGCCCCCACATCCCCCACTGGTCCCCGCTTCACAGCTCTTGTCACAGCGCTTGTGTGCTCCCTGCCCAGGATCGTGTCTGGACCAGCCAGGAGGGCACTGGTGCCAACTGGGTGAGGAGGGGTGGGCGTGGAGGAAGCTGCTGCCATGTCGGAGGGTGGCTCCGCCCCGTCCCCAGGAGCCCCCAGGAAGCCGGCCCGGCCCCGGGAGGTGCCGAGGGCCCCACGCTCACCGCGGTGCACATCATGTAGCCCAGGCCGAAGTCGAAGCGGCACTGCTCGTTCATGGAGTAGTGCAGCCCGGGCAGCTGCGGCAGCGCCGGCCAGTCGTGGGCGAAGGGGTCATCCCGCAGGCAGTCGTAGGAGCTGTGAAGGGACACGGGTGCCGCAAGCTGCCTTCAGCAGGGGCCTGCCTGCTTTCCCCAGCCCCATGCTGTGCTGCCTCAATTTCCCTGCCACATCTCTTCCTAGGCATAAAGCTGCCCCCCCACCACCCACACTGCAGGCTGGAGGACCCAGGTCCGAGGGCTCCGGCTGGGGGCTCGGGCACACGGGGCCAGGTGCCCTCCGAGAGCCGAGCCTGGAGCTCTGGGGTGGCCCTCGGGAGGCGCAGAGCGGTACTCACTGCAGGTAGCGGCTCAGCTCCTGCTGGCTGCAGCGGGACCAGTGGAAGCGGTGGAAGGCTGCCTGCACCAGGGGCGCCATGATGCTGCCCAGCCGCACCTCGTCGCCGCAGCGGTTGCCCTGCCCGTCGTGTTCCATGCCCAGCCTGTGCAGGAGCCGAGGCAGCCTCACTGGACCCTCCCCTGGTCAGCTCCATCCCACCGAGATGCCGGGAGGGCACCCTGCACCTCCCCCAGGCGCCCCACTCCCCTGGGCTGGCCTGGTCTGCCCTGAGCCGGGTGGTACCCATTTTGTACCCACTAGATTCTTAAAGCTAGGGGCAGTCTGGGGGACGGCATCCAGCAGCAGCCCCCTCAGGTGCCCTGTTCCCAAGGCGGAGCACTGCTACATGAGAAAGCACTGGCGGTGGAGGCATCCACTGCCCTCTCCGCATACACCCGGCGGCCCCGCGAAGTTCCCCATCAAGGCTCACGAGGCAAGATCCAGGTGGTGCCTGGAGCACGCTCACCGGGCAGGGTCATGGCTTCCCCACCCCCAGCTCTCTGCTCCTGGGTGAGGCTCCTTTGGAAAACGGGTTAAGAAGACCCCTGTGCCCAGGCACTTGAATGGTGTAATGAGTAGAAAGCCCCCAGGCCCTGCCTGGCCCTCAGCAGGATGGGCCTTGGGCCTGCCCTGTGCGGCGGCGCTGGCTCAGGACATCACAGCCCAAAGGCTTTTCCGACGGGGCCTGTCTCTCTCTGGGCATAGAGGAGAAGTGGGGCCCCTTGAGGCCCGAATCTTCCTTAGACCACAAGGATGGCGAGGCCACTTACACATGGCCAGTCTCGTGGGCCACCACAAATGCCGAGGAGAAGCCGTCCTCGTGGTTCAAGGTGCAGCTGCGGACGGGGTGGCACATCCCGGTGACAGGAGCATAGCCTGGGAGGAGACAGAGTGTGGCTCTAGTCCCAGACCCAGAGCCCTGCCCAAACTGGGGGGACCTTGGCCCCAGCCCCCCGACCTCTCCAGAGTAAATGAGCAGAGTCATGTGCACGCCCGGCTGGCCCAGCTCAGGAAGCCACCGCTCTCCACCCTGGGGCCTCAGCCCTGCCCGTCAGTGTCCACACCGCAGCTGGGTCAGTTTTCCGAGTCCAGGTCTCACCTCCTAGGACTCTCTGGCGCCTCGGCAGGCAGCCTCCTGCCAGCTGGTCCCCTTTCATGCCACTGCCCACGTTCCTCCCCACCTTGGCCGAGTGGCCTTCTGCCCCCGGGCAGCACGCCGTCTCCACACCGCCTCCTCCGCTGCAGGCTCCATGGCCCTCGTGCCTGGCAGCGCACCCTGAGCCCACTCCCTCGGGGTCTTCCTCAGCTCCCCCGTGGCTTCTCCCCATTTCCATAGTACACAGAAGACTGCAGTGAGGGCGGCCCTGAGCTGCTCAGGGGCAGCGTCAGGCCAGGACAGATGACATGCCACGCTGCCCTGCTGAGTCGTGCAGAGGGGACTGGCCCAGTGGTTGGGGGACTGACCAGCCACAGACGATGAGGCCGTCGGAGCCTCAGCCAGGGAACCCCACACTCTGGCTGAGGAGATTCTGAGCCACGTTTCTGCAAGGGGTCCAGGGGTCTGTCAGGAAGGAGCTGGGACCGGGCAGGGTGCCCCCAGGGGCAGAGGGTGGGGAGCAGAAGTGGGAAGGGCAGCTGCAGCAGGCCATACCCCCTAAGAGGTGCCAAGGGCCACCCCCAGCCACGCCCCTCCATCAAGGGCTTCTGAAGAGCCCTGAATTCACAGGTCACGGTGAGGAGACACCGTGGGCTTTGCCAGCCCAGTTACAGTGTGTGCCCCAAGGAAGCAGCCGGGGAACGGAGCCTGGCAGGGAGCCAGGGCGGGGCTGAGGAACGAGCCAGAACAGCCCAAGCAGTGGGGCGGGAAGACCTCCCTGCCGCGTGGCCGGTCTGTGGAAGGGCTGACCCCCTGGCTGGGCTGAGCCAGATCACAGGGTGTCTTCAGCTGTCCCCAGGGGAGGTTCACAGGACAGCATTCCCACCCGTTGCGGGGGCAGGGGGTGGCTGGAGGGCATGAGGCTGAGACCCCATCCCCAGCTGAGGAAACCCAGAGACCCGGGCCCAGCTGCTCGTCCCTGGACAGGGCAAAGCCGGGCACACAGAGCCGCGCGTGCCAGAGGGCGTCTCTGCTTAGACCTGGGCGTCCTACAGACCTGCCGAGTGAGAGGCCCAGGCTCTCCCCGGCCTCAGCCTCATCCTCTCAGACGCCACGGGGCGTCCCAGGCAACGTGTTCAAAGAGAAAAACAGAAAGGAAGGAAGCGTGACTGAGAGCGCTGTTTCAGACTTGTCTGTAAAAGCATCGTCATCCAACCATTATCGTTTTCCCTTGTAATAAACAGGAAAATCAGAGTGATTTTGCTCTGCAGATTTCGAGGTGATTGCTCTTGGATCGGTGCCAGGGCCAACCTTTGCAATCTTCTCTTTGGCCTTTGCATGCAACCCTGCATAGGAACACGGGCCTCAGTGTATTTCTCATTCACCTACTTAGCATTACGTGAACTTTAGGATCTGCAGGTTTGAAAATGAATCTGTATTTTTTTTCTTTACATCCTTCCTCCTAACTTTGCCGCTACTCTTCCCGCAAATCTTATTAGATGTTGTACTTCCTGGATCGAGCCTCTGTGTCTCCTAACTTTTCTCTCATGTTTTAATCTTTTTGGACGCTTTGATTTTTTTATTTCAGCTTTTGATTCTTCTATTCTGCCCACCACACCTTTAATTTCACAAAAACCCTCTGTTCTCTAATTCTTCCTAGCAACCTGTTCTGGGTTTACGGATGTACTTTCTCAAACATTCTGGGAACATTACTTTATAAAACTGTGCTTTCCCATGCTCTGAGTTCTCTGTTTCCTCTGGAGTCAGTTTTCTGATTTGGTTTTGCATCTGTGTCCACTTTTTCATCCTGTACCTTTTGTTAAAGGTCTGGTAATCCTTGGCTGTCCTTTCACGTTTTAAAATGAGGACCGACCTCACTTAGTATCAAAGTTGTGTCGGTTTCTCTTCTATGAGACAGATCTGCCCTCTGTGAGCGCCCTCGCCTGGATGGACGGCGGACGGGGCGCTCTGCCTGCCAGCCGGCCGCCCTGGTCCGGGGCCGTGAAGGGTGGCTAGAGGGCCCTCCCACAGCAGAGAGGCGCCAGCACCAACTCGCTCGCAGTCGCCCTCTGTGTGGTGGGACCTGGAGTCACACCCTCTGTCCCCACCTGCATCCCATGTGCCCATCTGTGTGGCCGAGGGGACCACTGTCTGGCTTCAGAGAGGTTTTGTTAACACGAACTAACTGTACCTCTGATTAGGCGTCACATAATAAGTCTTTCTCATTTTATGTTTGTTTTGTTTTTGGGGGGAGGTAATTAAGTTTTTGTTTGTTTGTTTGTTTGTTTATTAACAGAGCTACTGGGGATTGAACCCAGGACCTCGTGCATGCTAAGCACGCGCTCTACCGCTGAGCTGTGCCCTCCCCCACTTAGGAAGTCTTTCTATTTATGCAAATATGACAAGTGGTTGGCAGAGAGAAGCTGAAGGTTAAGAGAGCAGAGTCTGATGCAGGGCAGTGCGTACAGTAATTCACGGAAGAAAGTGCTGGAAGGACTCAGCCTACCTGTCAGGTAAGTGCACTTATTTTTATTAAAAAGCTCACTGGAATGATCAACCTGAAATGAATGAACATGACTACCTGTAGAGGGTGGGGGTGAGGTGAAGTGAGTCCACTCCCCAAAACATACATTTTTATGTAGATTGTTAAAGCTCTTTCTTTCGAAGTTCAATATATGCCCATAAAAAGGCGCCCATCATATGGCTACAACCAGCGGCTTCTCACAAAGGGATGACACCTGTGGAGCCACCTCCCTGGTCAAAACCTAAAGCTGCCCCCACACTGCAGAAGCCCCTTCTTGCTGCCTCCAACCTCCCTCCCTCCTTCCCCCTCTCTTGACTGTTAGCACCACAGGTCAGTTTTGCTCATGTCCAAATTTGAAATGAATGGAATCCTAAGTCTATGGTCTTCTCTGCCTGGCTATGTCACTCTACCCTCCCCGTGCGAGATTCATCCACGGGGTGGTGGGCTATCATGGTCCTGTGCCTTGTTGTAGGTTAAAATCTTCAACTGTAACTGTTGAATTGTCAATTTCTTCTTTCTATTTACTTACTAAAAAAAATTGGCGGTGGGGGGGGATTGGGTTTATTTATTTATTTAATTTAACAGAGGTGCCGGGGACTGAACCCAGGACCACACATATGCTACGTAGGCACTCTACCACTGAGCTATCCCCTCCCTCCAATTTCTTCTTTTAAATCGGTTGGTTTTATGTAGTTTGAATTTTTAAGGACAGCCCCTTAACTTTCAAACTTATTCAAATTTGTGTTTTAAAAACCAAGGGAAGCAAACAGCTCTGAAGCCCAGCCTCGGATCCTGTCTGGTCTCTGGGCCGCCAGCCCCAGACTCCGCCCATTTCGCTTCCTCTGATCTTCCCTGTGCCCCTGGGAGATGCAGCTTCCGGGGGGGGGGGTGTCAGAGTCCCTGGTGGTCTTCAAGAGCCAGGAGGTCAGCAGCACTTACCCAGCCCGTTGGCACAGCCCCCCTTGCCCAGATGCCCTTCCCCAGCCAGGCCCCAGGCTGCCAGCGGCCCTCACAGGACCAGGGGCTCATCCCCAGTCTCCCTCTCCTCTGGGCTCCCGCCCGGCGAGGCTCACCTTGCATGCCTGAAGGCCCGAAGTCCTGCCGCGTGAGGAATATGGCGTGATCGTGGTACTCATCGTGGTCGGTGTCCGGCTTCTGCTGGAGGTAGGCCCAGCGGCAGACGTTTTCCAGACTCTGTGAGGGGTTCCCAATCTCAATGAGGCTCATGGACTGCAGGGCGGGAGAGACGAAAGACAAGGGTGGGCGTCTGGTGGTCCAGGTGGGAGCTGAGCAGACCCCATCTCCTGGGGACTGGGTCCGCATGGCCCTAAGCCCAGGCCCTCTCAAGACACCCCTCCCTCTTGGCTCCGTTGTCCTGAGTGGATGGAAAGGCTCCCCGCTCACGCACACCTGCATGAGCTTCCACACAAAGTCACTGCACAATTTCAAGTAAGCCATGGGAACAAAACTCTGAGGCTGTCTACGGCCTCCACGCGTCCGTTCAGCCCCGCCCTCGTCCGGGGCCGCTGCGTCCTATTCAGCACCCGCTCCGTGCAGGCCCCGGCCAGGAGGCAGAGGCAGTGGGCTCCGCTCCCCCTGAAGGGCTCACGTTGTGTCAGGGCCCAGGGCAGGGGAGACACAACTCCCAGCAGGGCTGCAAGCCCAGAGAAGGGACGGGAACCCCGAGTTTCCCCCTTGATAGAAGATGTTTGCAGAAAACAACACAAAGGAGGAGGGGAAAACTGCATTAGAAATGGCAGGGAGCCACACGAGGGACAGGAGCGTAGAGGTAACTCCCCCAGGAGCCCTGGACAGGAAGCCAACGGGAGCAGCCACGGTCCATTTGGGATTGTGGCACGCACCCATGTGCCAAGGCTGGCGGCGGGACTGGCAGCATCACAGCCCACTCTGCACCCTGGCATTGGCATTCACTCTCCCATTCAGCCTTCACAACCACTCCGAGAGGCAGGAAACTGAGGCTCAGAGAGGTCAAGTAACTTGCCCCAGGTCACACAGCTAGGAAGCCTGAAACCAAAGTCTACATTCAATCCCCTGCCCTAAACTTCCTCCCCCAATAAAACAGACACCACATTGTCTCAAAAGGAAGTCTCCCGTAAGTGGCACTCGTCCCTTTTCGCTCCACAGTCCTCACAGCAGGCATTCTGGTTTCTGCTGTCACCACATACTCCCACGACCAAAGTGGTTCCCTCCGAGCAGAGTCCTGGGCACGTTCTTTTCCTCGGTAAGGACACATCCGTCCACAGAGTAGAGCTAAGAACTCCTTGGTAGACACACAAGCAGGCGTTTGGTTTCTTTCTTCTCTTGCATAAACGTATCCGGCAGGCAGAGCCACGTGATCCTCTCCGTGTGTACAAGCAGAGAGTGATCAGTAACAGGGCACTGTCAGTAAGCCAGTGTGCTGCAGAGGAAGGAAGAACGATTCAAGGCCAGAGAGGACTGGCCACTGCCAGGTGTCCTGTGCGTTACCCAAGTCAATGGCTTACAAGATGGCAGACCAGTTCCCAAGTCCGAAGCACAGAGCCAGGTGCTCCTGGGGGATCAGATTACTTGTCATAGCAAGATGTAGTGAGTCCTAATGAAGTCAGTGGCAGGCTGGAGGGAGATGTTGGGTGGCCAGGACCTGCTGGACACTGGCACAGAGGTGGGCAGCCCAGAGGATGCTGGGAAAGGGGAAGAGATGTACGTGCCTGTCCCCTTGTGACTGGGTGCCCCCATGTGAGTGGGAGGAGCTGTGACAAGCTCTGGCAAATGACCCACTGGCAAAAGTGATGTGTGCCTCTTCCTGGTCCGAGCATTGAACTGCCCACAAGAGACCCTCCAGGGGTCTCTCCTTGCTGGCATGTGAACCAGCAATGCCGAGGTGGTGGCTGCCTTGTCACCCAGTCCCTGAGCGACAGTGAGACCAGAGTCCCCTGCTGACTCACACTGAACTTACAGCATGAGCAGGAGATCGATTTCTGCTGTCCTCATCTGCTGGGACGTGGAGCCTGCTTATTTCTGTAGCACAACCTTGCCCACCCTGATGGACACAGGAGGGGCAGAGGAAGGGGACATGGCATCTGTTTCACATCCGAGCCAGACCCCTGGGGGTCAGCCAGAGACCCTACCACGTGATCGCTGCCTCTAGAAAACCTTGAGAGGCCACCGCTCTGGAGGAGGGACTGAATGAAAGGGTCACCTTTCCTGGAAGGACCTTTGGGTGGAACAAGAAGGCAGTGGCCCTCGTGGGTGGCTTTGCTGTGGTGCTGGAGTTTGGGGCAGGTGGCTGGATTTTACCGAGCTGAAGGTGGCCACCCCGAGCCCTGGTTAGAGGGTGATCACGCAGACCACTGACGACCACTTCACTGAGGATGGCCGCAGAGCCCCCACTGGACTGGGACTCCCCCGCCCCTCCCAAAGCCTGGCGAGGCCACCACCAATGAACAGGGCCTTGTCTCCTTCAGGGCCAGGTCTCTCAGTCCGAAGGTCAGGAGACTGTTCCCCACCATGGACTTGCACACCTGCCAGGTTCTGAGTTCCACGCACTGGGACAGTTCAGGTCCTGCGGCCTGCAGTTATCTTTGCCTGTGCTCTGCTGACACCAGCAGCCCAGTCCCCTTTGGTAAAACTCCCCCCACCTTCCCATCAATCTGGACCTGACCCCGCTGTGGGGCCGGAGGGCTCGGGCCCAGCCAGTCCCACCCTGCACTTCCCCAGCACCATGGCGGCTGGGGCCAAGGAGGGGGGACAGTGTGAGATCGAGCCTGGAGCTGCCACCCCGGGAGGAGGCCCCAGCCGAGGAGGAAGCCAGCACAGAGAGAGCGGGGCCCGGGCTGCAGACAGGCCGCTTCCTGGTGTCCCCACACAACCACCTGGCTCACCCAGGCCTGAGACCAGCCTACCACGGGCCCGTCTGTTACCTATCACCAACAGTTATTCCAAGACTTTATGGTCTGAAAAACCCCAAATGCATATTATCCCACGGTTTCTGTGAATTAGGAATCCCAAGGCAACTTAGCGCAGTCCTCTGGCTCACGGTCTCCCACGGGACTGCCAGCAGCCGAGACTGGGGTGGCGGTCTCATCTGAAGGCTCCCCCGGGGAGGCCCCACTCCCACGCTCACTCACGCGGATACTGGCAGAATTCAGTCCCTCCTGGGCTGCGGAACCCAGGGTTCCTTGCCAGCCCACCTGGACCTCACCACAGAGCAGCCACACACGGCAGCTTGCTTCCCCCATCGTGAGTGACCCAAGAGACAGCAAGAGAGGGCACGTCCAAGACAGAAGCCACAGTCCACCTGTAAGCAAATCTCAGCTCCGCCCACACTCGAGGGGAGGAGCGGGCTCAGCAGGGGCCACCCTGGGCTGCCTGCGGCTGAGATGTGTCTCACTCACTGGTGTCAGGAAGTCAGTTTAAGTTGTGCTATTGTCAGCTGCAGCTGAAAGAGCTGGAGCAGCGGCTTCCCCTTTGGAGAGTCCCGGGCAGCCAGTTGAGGGCACTGGCTGGCAGATGAAAGCCGGTGGCTGGTCTGCAGGGTTCAGCTGGTATGTCCCACACCAGTGGGAGAGGAATGCTGGTCCCATCTTTGAGGAGGGGTCAAGAGTCCAGCCAGAAAAGACACACTGTGTCAGGGCCAGGGAGTAGGAATGAGGCCATGGAGCCAAAGGCTGAGACAGGATGAGAGTGAGCAGGCTGGGGGCTGGGGGCTGAGCGAGAGGCCCGACTGCTCAGGGGGTGGGCTTGTGGGAGGTGCCGGGAGGGCGCTGCAAACTCAAATGCCTACAGGGCAAGGCTGGAGATGTGAGTCAGTGAGGCAGGCTGGTGCTAAGAAAAACGAGTCCTGTTTATCTGCCAGTTTAGAAGGGGTAAGGGCACAGAAGATTATGTCCCTGTTCTGACGAAGAAAGTGGGGTGATAAGGAGTGGTGAGGACTGCGGCAAACCAAGGGGCCCACACCCAGCTCAAGGGGAGACGTCCCTCAGCGCCACCCTCACTGGCCTGTAAGAACAGAGGGGTTGCCAGATTGGAATTCTCAGGCCAATCCCGAAATCTGGATTTTACAAAAGCAGCCCACCTTGTAGTTCGTGTCAACTTGAATTACAGGAAGTTACGTGAACAAAAGAAAACACATCCCTCAGGTCACCAGGTTGAAAACCCCGGAATAAAGGCCCTTCCAGGCTGGACCCGACACCGGCACACTGGCCAGGGCCTCCTGCCTCCCAGACACCAGGTTCTCCTGGGTTCAATCCAGGTTCCCAGACCCCTCGGCAGCCGATGTGATCCCACGGCTGCGGCAGGATAATTTATTGCAATATTGATTTGCGTTCTGTTTTTGCCTTGTCTTCCCTCGCCCCCTCCAAGAAGCAGCCTGTCGCTTGCATCCTCCAGCCCCACGGGGTTTGTGCTGCAGGGCCCAGAGCAGAAATTGTCTGGGACCCCCTCTCAGCTACTGGGTTCTAAGGAGACTCCTGGAGGGAAGAGGCAGAGAGAAGGGCTCCGAGGGGCTACACCAGGACCAGGTGGCCCTGGGGAGGCAGATCAAGGGAAACACGGCCACGCACTGGGTCCTGGGAGCCTGTGACCCAGACGGGATCCCGAGAGGTGGAGGAGGAGGGTGATGTCAGCGTTTGGGCATCCAAGCTGCCAAGATGCTGGTACTTCCTATTTCTCTGCTCAGGTCCCAGCTTTCTCAAGGTTCTGGCCCATCTCAGTGGCCACAAAGGAGCTAAGAGCTGGGGTCCTCGCCCTTGCTGGGTCTGGAGCGTTCAGGAGGGTGCAGGGTGCCCAGGGGCCAGTCTATTACCCGGCACCCATCTTGTGCCACGTGGCAGGTGCCAGAGCCACGTGCATTTTAGAAAGAGCTCCCTGAGTCAGTGAGGAAGGAGTTGGGAGGGAGGCAGCATGGCCGCTGAGATGGATGGGGGAGTCGGCTGGTGCAATGTCAGCAGAGCCGGGACCACGGGGTTGCAGGAGACAAGAGAAGTGTTGGGCCGGCGGGTGAGGGAGGATGGTTGTTGGCAAGGGGGAGGCAGGGGGAGAGGGCCGCACACCTGCTGGGGGAGGTGGGGTCCCCAGTGCCACAGACACAGGCGAGGGGTCATTCCTTGGGGGCCCAGTTCGCTCCCTTCACAAGCGACAGGCTGCTTCTTGGAGGGGGTTTTCCTTGGGGAGCTCTCCTGCTTCTTGGGGTGCAGCCCCTGGGGGATCAGTCCAGGGCCAGCCTGGGACTC